TCTCACTCACACACACACACACTCTCCCTCTCACACACACACACAAACACACTTGCGCGCACACACAGAGTATATTATTCAGCTGTGTCCCGTTTATCATATGCAGCCCTGTTACTCCATGTTGTTTGCTTATTAAAACGTATAAAGTTGTGACGTGCAGGAAGCGACACAGTTGGGCAGTTTCTTCAGCACTGCAGGATGACGAGTACATTTTCTGTGCAGTTCTGGGGTTCATGTGGACTACAATGCAATGATATTTTAGCATCACTGTTATACTATGTTAATATTTTGAAATGTTTTTTTATATGTATATAAATAAACATTTAAAAAAAAAAGATATATATATATTTATTGAATTTCATTTTTGTTGTTAGCTTTAGTTAATATTTGGGGGGGGGGGGATCTTTTTTTGTATCATTATATATTTTTTTTATTTTTTTTTATATTTTATTTAATATTTCCTGTTTGCATTTTACTTTTAGTTGAAGTTTTAGTGATTTTGTTGTATGTTTGTCAGATTTATTTATTTATTTATTTATTTTCCAGAAATGTTACCTTGGCAATATTTACTGAACTATAGATGATGTTAATAATAATAATATTAATATTTATATAATCATAATAATATTTTTTTTACTATATTCTTCAAACTCAAGCATTCAGCTACCGTTATTGTTAGAAACATTCCTCTTTTTATGCGATACATTTTTCTTTGTGACATTGTTTATTTGAAAATAGTTTTTGTTTTTTAAATAAAATGGCTAAATCACTCGCATCACGGCTTAAAACAAAACCCAAATCTCATGTAAAATGAGTAATATAATGGCTATAATGAGTCGTGTCCACTAAGGTGGATTCTTTCAGGATTTCAGGTCTTTATTTGTCCTCTATTTGTAGCAGAAGCTCTGTTAGTTCTCGTTGTAGTTGAGCTCCGTCTTTTAGATCTTCAGAATCAGGGTGTGAGTGTTCTCAGAGAGTCTGCTGCGGTGTCATTTAGGTCTTAAGGGTTCTGAATGTCTAAACTGGGTTATTTTTCTTATTATTTGTGCGTCTGCAGCGGTTGAGGAGCAGGAGGGTGAGTAACTCACGCTCATGTCGTCTGTGCCATCGCCCCATTTCAACCCCGTCACCGGCTGAGCTCTACTTCAGAAATATTGCAACATTTGAATTCATTTTAGGCTTTTTTTCCCCCACATGCTGATGTTTGTTTACTAATGTCGCAACAAGCAGCACTCATCTTTCGCTCCCTCAGTCCTCCTCGGCACCGATCATATTCACATGATCATACAGGACAGAATTAATAACTCGCTGCATGTTGAAGATCGGTGTCATGAGTGTTTTTCTGCCCATTAACCTTTGTGCCATGTGTTGTGTGATTTCTAGTCAAACATCTGGACACACATGATTTTTTAAAAATATATTAACTTTTTTATGTATATCTGTGTGTGTGTGTGTATGTGTGTGTGTATATATATATATAATTTTTTTTTTGTTTTATATTTATTTATTATATATTTTGTATTTTTATATTAAAAAACTTTTGATTTATATATGCTTATGAAATTGTTTCTAAATATGGGTTTCTTTACAAAACGAATGCACAGCATCTGCGTCCATCCTTCAGTAGTGCTCATGAAGTTACTAGATGTGATTACAACAAGCTCGCAGAATAAAAGTGATTGTTTTGAAGCTTGGTTAATATTTCCAGTCAGTTTTACAGTGTTTTGCGCCGTTTGTTTCAGAGCATCAGGCCGTCGTCTCGGACCTTAAGAAACAACAGGAGGAAGAAATCCGGCTAATTCAGG